GATTTTGGAAAAAATGGTTACTATAAGGAAGAATATCAACTTTATTCAACCTGAACAGGTCTTTAGACCTGTGGCTATGGAAGATCGAACTGATCTCTTTGATGTTGTAAGGTTGCTTTGTGAAGAAATGATAGGTATTTGTCAAGCTCGTGAGCGAAATGCTTAGAAGTTTGAGACACTTAGGAAAGAATATGTTGAATTAAAGAACTTATATAGAACTTGGATTCCCATTGGTCAAACTAATAACGAATCTTCTTCATATCATTTACCAATGATTCCTAAGGCACATGTTCCAATAATGCAGTCATCGGTTGTTCTAGATCAAGCTCCCCCTTGGTCTGAAATAGTAACTGAACTTATAATTAAGCACCCTTTTACTCAAAAAAATTGTGGAGACAATGTTATCAGATAATTGGAGGAGTCTTCCTCTAGAGAAGTATGACAGATCCTTTAATCTTGATTAATATATGAATGCATACCTTACTCAAGTTACTCTATTGACACAAGAAGTTGCTACTTTATGTTGTATTTTTTTTTACACTTTAAAGGGCCAAACACTAAGTTGGTTCATTAAGCTTTCTTTGGGATATCTATAAACTTGTTTGAAGAGTTGTTAGCTTTGTTTACTGTACAGTTCGCCACGAGTTGACCATACCAACTAATATCATTGGCATTGGCTAATATTAGGCAAGATAAAAAGGAGTCTCTTTGGTCTTTCATGGGTTGTTTAATAAAATCACTATGGAAATAAAAAATTTGAACCTTGAAGTTGTTATGGATAGGTTGAGCACTACACTAAAACCTAGGCCATTTGTAAATAGTTTGTGCAAAAGACCTCCTATGGATATGAATGACATAAGAAAAAGGGTAGAAAAATATTTGTAAATGGAAGAGTTGACAAAATCAAGAAATCAGGAAAGAGCGGAGGTTGTCCTTAGTAAAAAAGAAAATGAAAGAGAATCATATGAAAAAAGCAGGGGATGGGATAATTCAAAGGGTTATTAGACAAGGGGCCTCAATATAAAAGTTATACCCCTCTAAACACAAGTAGGGCAAGAATCTTATGGCAAACACTTACCTTAGAAATCTTAACTATTCCTAAAAGAACTCATACACCTCCTAGAGCAAATATATCAAAGTCATGTTCATATCATCAAAATCACAGGCATTCAATTGAAGAGTGTGTAGCCTTGAAACATAAGGTGGAAGACCTCATAAAATAGGAACAACTAAAAAATCATGTTGAAAAATATGGGTCTAGCAGAGGATAAAACCGTAAGGGAGAAAGTTACATGTCTTGAAGAAGGGAGTCAAAGAAAAATGAGAAAAATAATAGAGCAAGAACGAAGCCAATCTAGAGAAATAAGAGGAAGAGGTAATGACAATTCAAGGGATCAACTGAAAAGGATTATTAACATTATTTCTAGGGGATTTGCTAGTGGAGGTGTTACCTATTCGACTAGAAATAGGCATTTGAGGGTAGTGAAATCTATGAATGTAGTGGAAGATAGAAAAAGAATGAGGATGTCTATAATAAATTTCATTGATGAAGATTTTCATGGGGTAGATCCCATACAAGATGATCTGATGATAATCGGTGTTGAGATCAACAATTGTATCATAAATAAAGCTCTAGTAGATAAAAAAAGTTTAGCCGATATACTATATTGGAAGACGTTCAAGCAAATGAGAATGTTAAAGGAAGAATTGAAGTATTATAATGAACCTTTAGTAGGCTTCTTGGGTGAACATGTAATAACAAGGAGATGTATTGACCTTTACACTTGCTTTAATTTTGATCAACAAGTTAGCAAAACTATAAATATTAGGTACATTGTTGTAAATGCTAACACTTTATATAATATTCTACTCAGAAGACCATCCATAAATGTCATCGATCCTATTATCTCTACCCTTTATCTTGCATGAAATTTTCTGTTGAATCTCGAAGATAACTACAATGCATGCTAATTAAAAGACAGCTAGAGAATGTTATATGACAAGCCTAAAAGTAACACTTATTATAGAAGAGGAAGACAAGAATGTACACGTGGTGTTGGCCATAGCCGAAGATACTCAACCTTAATAGACCTAGGCCCGAGGATGAGTAATAAAGGTTTCAAAATAGAGCCAAATGAGAAAACATTAATATTTAGATGTTTATTTGACACCTACAAAGAAGGTTGCTAAATCAAAATTGGTAATGGATTTTCATTACTTCATATCACATTTGTAGAAATCAAACGATGTTTTGACACTTTAAAAACTAATGATGAGTTTGGTCATTTCATGTTAGAAATTGATGAAAAAATAAAAGTTAAAAACATTGAAATTGTGTGAAAAAAAGCTCTACAACAACATCATTGAAACTTTTTAAAAGGTTAGGTATGTACTCTTTACTAGTACCACTATCATTTCATTGGAAGAAATAACATCACAAGACTACAAAATTATTGGTTTAAAATGGATTGCAAAGTGTTTAAGGGGAGACTCTCGTTGTGAGGATAGAAAATGAAGAAGAAGAAAACTTTACTACTTGAAAGGATGAACTTTGAGAAGGTATAGGACATATTGATTTCAGAAAACATTTTCTATTTTTATTTATTGAAAATTGTTTTCGTTTCCAAAATTTTCCATTTAGAAAACATGCTTAGATTGGATTTTTTTTTTCATTTTTAAATTTGGGTTTCTTTTGAAAATATTTTCTAAAATTAAAGTCAAACATATTTTCCATGTTATTTTTTTGTTTCTTTTGAAAATGAAAATAAAAAAACAGTGAAACCAAACGGATCCTAAACTTTTTTAAAGAGACAATTGTTTGAAAATTTTAATAGAAGCAGGAATTGTTGGAAGAATAATTCAAATTTCTGGAAAAATAGATGGGGTGCATAGAAATTCAAGATGAGTTATTTTTAGAGTTTATATTTTTTAGAATATTTTTTAGATTTATAAATTTTATCAATTTATTTTAATTTTTTAAAGAAATTTGTTTCCTTTTTCTAAAAATTTAAGATTATACAGCATTTGAATTTTGTATTATAATTTAACTCTAAATATAAAGATTTTTGGGCATGTAGATAATTTTGCTATGTGAAAGAGCTTTTATAGCAATTTCTAACATTGAAATGAAATCATTTAAAAAACATGGGCTCAATTGTATATGAAGGTCACTGTGATGCAATGATGGAGTTGGATGGAGGTTGACATGATATAGTTATGGCAGCATGAAAGTCGTACTAACGATTTGACGGGTTTGGTGCTGATAGAGGGAGGTCCTTGAACTTATTTTTTTCGAAGGAAAATGGTGGTGGTCGCTAGGTTAAATTTCATGGATGGATTAGTTGGAATATAATGAGGTTTCATGGGTCAGAGGAAGAAGGGCTTAGAGTGTTGGTTATAGAAATTTGGTGTGATTAAAGGGTGGGTTTGGGTGGTCTTGTGCCTGGTGGGTTTAGTTCAGATTGCTATGGAAGAAAAAGAGACTAAGGTTTGTGGTGACATTTCATGAGATTAGCTGGATCTTATGGTTATTAAAACATCATGCATGCTGATTTTTATAAATAATTTATTAAAATTCTTATTTTACTTTAAATAACATTTTACATCGTTTTTTATATTAAAAATGATGCGATATGTAATTTTCTTTATATTAAAATAAAAAATAAATAAATTTAAATAAGTAAAATATAAAATAATAAAAAT